TACCATGGTATCACGGTCATGGGCTAGGAGGCTATTCCACTGAGCTGTGGCTGCTGGGTAGCGCGGGGGAACAGGTGGCCGGCCCTGCAAGGCTCTGAAAGCAGGGACGGTACCTCCAGGAGAGACGGGGAGGTAAACCAGAAAGGGTGCAAGCCCAGGAAGCAGGGCACCTCGTGGTGACATTTAAAAACAAAACACTGTCTTTTCATATCCTCAGGTAATGTACAGGTGAGATGACGTTTGGTTTAAAAGACTCCAGTGAACAATGTCAGCGTGTGAAGAAGGGGAGCGGACGCGAGCAGAACGCCGACTGTTCTCGGAGCCGGATGGTGGGCACGGGGCCCATGGGGTTCATTACACTCTGTTTCCATGTATCTTTGAAGCCTCTGTGATTAAACTTTCTTAAGCAGCAGCAGGGAAGCCCCTAGATCCTGTACTCCAGGCCCTGTCTTCCGTATGGCATCAGACTGGAAGTTGATTTTATAAAGGGCATAATGGAGGGTCCATGGAATGGGAAACAGCGGGCAGAGTTGAGGGCAAGTAACACAAAGGCCGCCCTTGCTCTGCACAGTGGCTGTGGGGCCACAAACATGACCCTGCAAAGTAATCTAATAACCAACAGGTAGCACGGTTGTCCCATGAGCTTTAACATTTTTGTCAAAACATGAAAAAATGAGTTATAAATGTATATGGCAATCAAAAAATAGTTAAACTACTATTTATTTAGCATGCTGTCTTTTAAAATCATTAGAAATATTGGGATTAAAGTGTTCAGGGGTTGGCTTCCAACATCATACCTTTTCCTCACTGCTGGGAACCATTTTCAAGAAGTCCCTGTATGTGAAGTTCCTTCAGTCACTTCGTCTGGGACATCTGCACCCTTCTCATCACTTTCCTCCCTCACGCTGACAGGGCCACCCTCACTAATTTCCTCTCACAGCAGCAGTGCGGGCCGTCCCATGGTCAAATACAAGTCAGCTTATGTTCAGTTTCAATTCGCCACACTGTCACTTTTGGCTGTGATGTTTTCAACTTCTTCCAAAGAAATTGCAAAATCTCCAGTTATAGCAGCACTAGCCTGTCCAAAAGTCCGTAAAAAGTTGAAATAATCTCTGTCCACTGGCCAAACCGATGAGTTGTTTGATGGTAAAAAGCAAGTTTTTGCACTTTTTCGTCAAGCCCCTGAGAGAAGGTGGAGCTCACCCATCAGTGGCACTAAGAGCATTATCTCTGCGGCATCTCTACTGCTAGGAGCCTAGGAGGCGACACCACAAAAGCTCTGTCATCTGTGAGTGAACAGAGTAACAGATGCGCAGCAGCCAGTCACCAACAAACTTTGAGAGAGGTGACCTAGTAGGTTACTGATGCTGACGTGCGTCTGTTCTGTAAATGTGCTTTCTGGACTGAAGAGCTAGCATTCGAGCCAGTACGTCATGCACGTGCTTATTGTTAATGTCCCGCAGCAACTGACATCAGCCATGCTGCGGGGGGACTGGGGCATGTACCCTAATGGTGGTACAGAATTCGTGCATGTTGGAGCCACAAAGCAGGAACTACCTGTGCTGAAAACAGGGCGATAGAAATACAGGGTGGGGCAAATACAGGTTTACAGTTGTGAGCGTGCAAAACAGTTTATTCTTCTATTATTATTAATTGTATTATTTTCTATATAAGCAACTATAAGCCTATTTTTGCCCCACCCTGCACAGTGACCTCTTCCCTGCCAGCCTCACAGCTTTGAGTCACACTTAGACCTGACTTTTTTCTGGGATTCCCCCAAGAAACAGTCAACCAGATCACCCTAGCCCAGGGTTTCTCCACCTCAACTTTTGACATTTTAGACCGGATAATTCTCTGTTGGGGCTCCTGCATAGCAACACCTCTGGCCAGTAGCATGCCCCAATTGTGACAACCAAAAGTCTCAATATTGCCACATACATATTCTGGGGTGCAGGGAACAAAAGGCAGGGAACTCGGTGAGCAGCACTGCCTGAGGTAAAGGCCCCAACAGTGCCCCAG